AAACATGTGGTTGCATTCAGCCCTCCCAAGACCCTGTCCACGTCCTCGGGAGCAACAGAGTCAAACTCCTCCCATATAACCGTCTCAAGACCTGCTTCCGTCTCCTCCCCCTGGGCCAACCAGTCAGAGTCCAAGCCTTCCCGGATCCGCGCGACTTTGTCATGCAGATATTGCGCAAAGTCCTCGGCCCTCCCCTCCAAATTGGCTGCCAAGTCTACAGTACATATAATTTTTGCTACTTTTCATATTTGTATTGATCTTATTTAGTGGTTTTGCTATTTTCAAGCAGTCTTTAGAACAATATCTGGCTCACAAGCAAAAGAATATATATAAAGTGAGAGTATCAGAAAAGCACCATCTTCTGTTTAAGTTACGGGTGTCAAACTCGCCATGTCACGTGATGTGTCACGACATATCGCAACTTTTTTCACATTGCTGGAGCTGGGGTTGGTGCGACCTCCGCATTATGCAACCAGCCCGTAGGCTGGCAGTTTGAGACCCCTGGTTTAAGTCAACTCCCATCATGTAAGGTCCTGTTCTAGAGGATGAATAAGTGATCTGAAGCTCTCCAGAGGTTGCAACTCTCACCAAAGTCAGGCAGCATGATAAAAAGTAATGGATTGCAGGTGCTATAAATTCAAAATACCTGAATAGCATCCTACTCTAGCTATTGCAAAATGCTGTAAAGATAGCAAGAAATGTTTTAAGGTGCATGAGAAAGAAGAGGGAATCCAGCAAAGTTCCCACTGAAGTTTCCTGAGATTTCAAGAGAAGAGCTGTATTGGCATGGGCCATTGTTAATTTGGCGATTTCACAACTTGGGATGGATTCTATAGAACAATTAAGCATTGGTACAAAGACACAGAATACAACCTCTTGAACAATCTCTCATTAAATATTTCTGTCCTTACCATGGCAGCTGTCAGAACTGGGGCAATTCAATTGGCCCATTAATCAGTGGGCTAAGAGGATGCTGTTCTAATGGAACTTTGATCATATTATCTTTAGAATCCTGTTAGTGGGGCTTGATAGAAAGTGGTGAGGAACTGTGTTAATTCAAGCATTCTGTGTTATTTTGGGTATAGCATCAGTGCTTCCTGCAAGTAGGTTGGCCAGAATCTAGAAACTCTTTGATTATGTAAGAATGGAGAGAAAATTACACTTCCTGTACCCCTTTTTTTTAATACGCAGGGGAACCCATTCTCTTGGTTCATTTTGATATTTTTCATCTTAACTCATGTTATTCTTGGGTAGATATAAGATACATATGTACTTGCAAAGTTCATTTACACATAGGTAATTCTAAGCCCTTGCCATCAAGATCCCGATACTGAACCCATGCATCTGTTCAGAATACCTTCAGATTGCTGAGTGTCTTGAGAAGATGCGCCAGCGATGCTGCCAGCTGGATTGTGATCTGAAGAAGACAAGGCAACAGTTACGCCAATCAGAATCTGAGTGTTCTGTGCTGCAGGTGAAATTGAAACATGCCCAGAACCAAGTAGAGGTAGAAATGAAGAAAAGACGTTGGGCAGAAGCTGAGCTGGAAAAGCAGGTTTGTGAATTTTATTCTCTTATCAGAAACAGCATTCCCAGAATGAGAAAACCACCGTGAGTGGGAGAGGTAGGAAAATGAATAGTATCTCTTCGGTCAAGTAATAGATTTTAGGAAAAATAGCCCCTTAATCTGAAAACAAGAGTGGACCACCTCTGGCCTTCCAGCTATAATTGGATTTGAATCCTTAATAGCACCAGAAAACGTGGCAATAGAACCATATTTAAGAGTATGAGGCTAATGGTTACTATATTAGTGTCAGTGTTAACATTTCTACCATATTTCATTCAGTGCATCTATTGGATTTTTATACTTCTCAAAAATGTTTTTGTCTAGGACAGGAGTGGGGGAGGATGGCCCTTCTATCGCTTGTAGACTTCAACTCCCAGAATTCCTGAGCCAGCCATGCTGGGTCAGGAATTCTGGGAGTTGGAAGTCCACAAGTCATAAAGGGGCCCTCATTCCCCACCTCTGGTCTAGAGCAACAGGTGTCAAGCTATGAAGACCCCTCGCATTAGAACTGCCATGATGCTTCTAGCTTGCCTACAGGTATGGGGGCGAGGGGGAAAGATTTTGGAATTCACAGGTGGTTTCTATCGAGGTCACTGAAGAAATGTTTTGGCGAACAGAGTCTGTTTTTCCATAACAACCTTTCAAAGACTAATTGGACAATGTGACCTGAACTGTCAGAGAGGGGAGGGGAGGTTTTACTCTTTTAATTATCTTTTTCCCGCCATATTGCCAGAGCTGGAATTCCTTTTACTGTGCCGGCATGCTATACCTAATAAAGTTTTATGTTAGAGATTGCAATGTCTCTGGTGGATTTACTTCATTGGGCTTTTCAGCCGGAACCATGACACAGAGCTGCTCCCATAGGATGACATTTGGAAGGCTCCCCCATTCTTCCTTAGATGTCCTCCATGTTAAATTCCCTAGGTTCATTTTCCCTTTGGTGTGCCATACACTGCCACCACATACCTTTTAGGCATACCCCCTCCTCAACATCCTCTCTGCTAATCCCTACTACACGCATTGGAGTGAACTCCCATACTTTGTATTTTCTAAATTGACAAAAACTTTTCTACCTGGAGAGGAAGGGATTGAGAAGGATGGTGGCATTTCTATTTTATTTTATTATTATTATTATTATTATTATTATTATTATTATTATTATTATTATTATTATTATTATTATTATTATTATTTATGGATCATCGCACAGTCAGCCAGATGTTCAGACTGGATTTGGCATTTTGTCTACCTATCGAGTCCTTACCCAGGACCTGGGATAGGCAGATGTGGATGTTTGATGGTATTACAGATATCGTCGCAGGATATTATTATTATTATTATTATTATTATTATTATTATTATTATTATTAT